AACAGTGTCTGGCACATAGTAGCCCAATGACAGTGCCTGGCACATAGTAGCTCAATGACACTGTACAGTGCTGTCACTTGATTACTATGGGCACAAATTACAATGAGTGACAAGAGCCCTGCCCATAATAAAAACTGATAGGTCATAGGCCCTTGTAAAACTGACTTAGCAGGATATTACATCTCTTTTTACTTGCACAGAATGAAACGTGTACTGCCAAGAATATCATCATACTGATTGTACAACCAAATACAAAGTTCCTGTGAACTTACTGTGCAGGTTTTATGAAGCCACATTGCTTATTTGCCCCATTGCCACCAATACCACAGATATAATAGCTTTTGCCTTTATTTGGTCCTTCTTTCACTCCAGTCTTCATGAAACATGGTTGACCTACACATAGGAGATGCAATAAACAATTTAGCAGGGGTACATTGTACACTAGTGTTACAATAATAAACCATGTCTGGGTATGGAAAGTGATAAACAGTGTGATGCTGTGTGGGTGACCTGTCATTATGTCAGGTACATACTAAATGTTTAATTATTCACTGAGCAGATGCAACATCAAATCCACTAAAATTAATTAAACCAAATAAATGTTCACCACAGTATTCATATGGTGATATAAGTTGCTGTATAATGGGTCTTTTGTAGGCGGGCCTTGTGTATGGGTCAGTCTGCGCATGCTAGTTCCCATGGTAATGTACTGAAATCATTGAGACAGCCAATCAATGATGACACAGAATTCTGTGCCAATTACGTAGATACAGAGAGATTCACAAGACTATTCTTGAGCGTAAGTGAACAATTAGTGAACCCTCACCCTCCAAATATAGCATCAGTCGATTGGGAAACCCCACCCCACCCCCAAAAGCATATTTTTGTGGTGCAAACCCCCGATCCCAAGCAACAGGAGAAACCCATATAAAATTCCAAATTGTGTTCAGTTATGATAGTTGATATTTAACGTAATCTTGTGTAGTGCACTGCTCCTACCTCAGATCCCAGCCCAGTTTTCATGTTCCTTTTGTAACCCCCCAATGCCCCATATAGATAACTATAGGTGTTCCGAGGAGGTTCATATTTTAACTAGTAATTAAATTGTGGAGCGCTCAAAGGGTAAGGTTAGTGTTATGGGTGCATAAGGACATGTTTCCAGGTGATCAGAATTCCAATTGACTGGTGCATAAATGTGTCTTTAATGTTCAAAAAATCCCCGAAAAAACATAAATTCAAATATCCCTATTGTCCGACTAAGAGCCTAATTAATCTGTCTCCCGATTCGTAGAAATATTAAACCCGGTTTGAAGTTATTAGTTTTTGCATAAACCCACGGTTACCAAAACAATATTAATTTAAATTGTAGGGTCTATGGTTGCTGTGGCCATAGAACTAAAACAATTTTAGCTTCATGATGTGACCATGGATTCTGGAGACAAAATTTTGCTATGACTTCCAAGTGCATTCGCAAGGCCACAGTTCATAAGTGTTGTGGCTCAGCTTTAGGTTGCACAGAACGACAGTAAATCCTTATTTTCCATAACATCAAGATAAATATAACCGCAAACTTACCATGCCCATCACACAGAATTCTTTCCATCGTGTAAGCTTAGATCAAAGCGCAGCCGTGATACAGAAACTATGATCAAAGTAAAAATGATGTACAGTCACTTGCTTTACAAATCACGCTTCAGATAGATTTAAATTTGGAACGCAATATGTGCGCATGAGCAGTCGAATCGGCCAATTAAATTACACGATCATAACGAGGCTGGAGAAACATTCAAAATGGCAGCCTGCTGCTATATCTGAATGATTTTGGTCACGGTCACGTCTTGAATCTATTTTTTGACGACACCCTTCCTAATATAAAACAGCGACAATGAATGACACTCCGAAAAAACTAAACGATTGCTGGAGAGATGAGATGCGAATGACGTCTCTTTATTCACCGTTCCGAGCAAGCAGAGAGGTCAATCCCCAGGACTGGGACAATAAACAGCAGTTTTGGTTCGAAGTCGCCATCGACAGCTGCAGGGAACAAAAAGAAGTATGTTTTGATTGCAACGAAATTTGTGAACGTTTCAGAATGAAAGAAAGGAGACCACTTGGACTACCCACAGTACTTAAAGAAATGTTGAGGTATGTCAAGAATTCATATAAACAATTACATTTGTAATTGTAAATGTGTCACGCACTTCCTGGTTTAGGGGTGAACCTTTTTAAATCTTCGGGAGGGGGGTGTTGAGCAGTGCAAAATGTTTGTTTGCCTTATCATTGCTTTTCGTTTTGGTAAAACCTCCTCAGGGCCCCACACTCGTAACTCTAATCCTAACCATGCCCCTCCAGTGCTTTTCCCACATTTTAATTGTATATTCCCTTCTCCAGATCAGTTATAGTTATTTGGAGGGACATATTGAATTGAGGGTTCAGGTTTGGGATGAAGGGGCCTTATAGAACTCTTACCATGTGCCTTGCATTTGTCAACCATTCATGGTCCTATCACAAAGAATTTGAAGATGTGGCAATACAGTATTTAATTGTACAAATATAGAATCACTTACAGATAGAATCTGGGAGACAAACAATACAAGGAACCTCAGAAAATAATATGTTCAGAAAATAAAGTGGAATATAAACAACACTATTTTTAATCTTACGCACACATATTATGAAAATTAAAATGTCAGTGTAAACTGAAAACAGACTTCTCAAGCTAGAGTGAACCAAGTGAGTATTGGTCACCAAATCCGGGAGGAGAATAACGCACTGGAGAGGAGCACTTGTAGCCAAGGTGTTTATTGGAATACGAGAGAAGTCGGCCAATCGCCAAGTCGGCCTGCAGGAGAAGTCGGCCAGTCACCAAGTCGGCCTGTCGGAGATGTCGGCCGGGCGGAGAAGTCGGCCACTTCAACTCTACTAATAGGCAGGGAGACTGTACAAATCTATGTTCGTAAGCTACAGAGCAAATTGCTGAGTTCATATAGGCTACCTACTATAATAGTACAACCACTGCATGTAGGGCTGTTGGGTACCAGGCGACCCCTACATCACAGCATTCGACAAGCAAAAATATTGACCATTCGCCGATACATGGCAGTTTTGGGACTCATTCAGGGTGATCGCATTGAAATACTTATTAGAAACTTTTGACAGATATTTATTACTCATACGTTATCATTGGATCTTCATTTTTTTTAAACGAAATCTTGCAGTGACACACATGTGTGCCATGAATAATAAACAATGCGAACCTGTAGTTGAGAGAACGTGCCGGCGGCCATATTGTTACGTGGATAGCCTGGCTTTACCACCCTTTTCACGGGGGCGGCAATGTGTCGGTGCTTGGTTATTACTAGATCAATGTTTGATTCTCTCTTTCAGTAACACCTTATGGCAATACGGAAGTTCAGTGGGGGAAGATTACCTGTAAGGTCATAGTTATTTAGCCAGAAAGAACTAATTATGTTTTGTGCATAAAATATAAGTCTTTTTGTTTTGCATTTGCCGTCTTCGTTACGTATAATGTACGTTTAATCATGGAGCTATTTTTTAGATCCATGGTTTAATAAATGGCAACTAACAACGTTTTCTAAGTACATGTACGGTGTTTCATAAAATAGATGTATTTTTCTTCCAAAATGTTAAGCGATTATTGCTGGATTACAATGCTTTGTACAATGCTTTGAACTTACAGTCATCTCGCCGCCAACTGACACATCATGTGGAAATGGAGAGACGTTGGCTTGAGTCTAGACTACAGATCACAGATACTTATTTATTTCCGTTTTTTACGGATGTTGGATGACAATTATTTATAAAATCAAACTGGAAACATTTTAAAGTCAAGCATTCCATAGTTTATTTCCAAACAGTAAAAATACATCACATGAAAGTAGCCTAGTTCCGTTGCCAGAAAATGCCAATAAAAAAACTAGAGACGTTTCAAAGTGATAGAATTATTCAAAATAGTTTATTTAGAACAACGAAAAATATATAACGTAAACGTAACTGATATTACAACAAAAATCTAAATAGTCAAAACCTGAAATACACATTACATATTATAAATGCTAATGGAATTTCGATAAGATATATAACATAGACGTAGAGAAATGTATTGGTCAGCATTTAAGTTTATTTTAAAACATGAAAAGTACATAACATAAAGGTAATCGAGTTGCGATGATAAACGAAAGTAAACGGCGCTGAAAAAAAAAACACTAGAGAAATTTATTAGTCAGCATTTAAGTTTATTTTAAAACATGAAAAGTACATAACATAAAGGTAATCGAGTTGCGATGATAAACGAAAGTAAACGGCGCTGAAAAAAAAAACACTAGAGAAATGTATTAGTCAGCATTTAAGTTTATTTTAAAACATGAAAAGTACATAACATAAAGGTAATCGAGTTGCGATGATAAACGAAAGTAAACGGCGCTGAAAAAAAAAAAACACTAGAGAAATTTATTAGTCAGCATTTAAGTATATTTTAAA